TCTCTTTATATAATCTATACATTGGTCATTGGGTGTTTGTGGGTTGTGTCTTTACACAACAACCATTGCGTTTTATCACAAATTTTCCCGAGAAGGCATGAGTGAAGAATGACATCAGCGGAAACAGTTTTTTCCTTTTTTTAAATAAATTTTGAAACTAATATCAACCATTAGATGTTAATTTTTTTCCTATAAAAAAAATGACGTTATCAATTCTTAAAAACAGGTTTTCTATTATATATAGATAAGAGTGTTTGGAAATTATATATGAAAACTGGCACATCAAATTTGTTTAGTGCCTTGACTGATTAGTCGCGGTGTCTAATAAATTCTAAATTTTTTATATACTATTTGAAACTGATATATAGTTTTCTTAATCAATCAAGTAAGAGTGTAAGGCCAATTAATCGGTCGGTCACATAACTCAAACTAAATCAATAATAACTCCAAGTAATTGGTTAACCAGATTCTTAATTTATCAAAGTTGTGACACTGTTAGACGACCAACTCTCAAAACAAATTACAACATCACGTTTTTATTTCAACGACTAAGTGAATTAAAGAAAATAAAGATAATGAGAATCAAATTTTCAACGACAGTGGCCTCGGTGCTGTTAAGGTAAATTAGGTTTTAATTGAAACAAAATTAAATCAATCACCACCAGCACCTCACATATATAGAAAAACTAAACATTATTCGTCATTTAAATATTTTTGGTTTGATATTCAGTGGTTTAGGACAGTAATCGTCTTTATAGGCTTAATTAACTAAACAGCTGTGTTATAAGAATCAAACCATGTGGTATGTCTGTGATTATTATATTGAAACCTGCTCTACATATTGTTCTTTCTATTATTAGCCTGTCGTTAATTACTTATGGCTCTAATTTTCTTTTCTTTTCAAATTTAAATTTCTTAGGTGACCAGAAAGCATTTACAATTTGCTTAAGAAAAACAGTTGCTATAAATGGATCTTATAAAGATTTGGTCGTCTCTAATGCCAACTCTGTGTATTGAAACTTTTTATTTCTTTGTGTATTGAAACGTAGGAGCATGGACTAGGTTTAATTAATCTTGAAGAATATGTTTCATTTTAGATCAAAGCTCTGTCTCTTAAAACAAAGTTAATTATATTTATTGTAAAAACGTTTTTTGGTTTGAATTAATTTAACATTCATTTAAAAGGAAACCATAGAATATAAATGGTTGTGATACAAATACAATAAATACTTAAATGTTACTAGATTCTAACTTTTCCTTTTTAAGTTACAGAATATCTTTTATACATTTCATAAGGTGTTATAGTTTAATTTATGTTGAGGTGATATTATGATAACGTTTGTAGTTACAATACAATGCAGAAAAAAATGATCATAATATTAACTTCATTTCAAACGTCATCACATTCACTTGCAGTGTTCTAAATTTAGATTTGTCTATTKCGGTTCAAAAAAGCGTTCCATACTAACAAAAGCGCAATTACAAAAATATCATTTTTATGTGCATATTTGCAAAAATATCACTTAGGGGTGTCAATTTACAAAAATACCACTAATTATAGATTTATAAAGTCTATATCTTAAAATTCTAAACCCTAAAAAATGTTTTGACCCCTAAAACCCCTTAAACCCTCATAACTAAACACTAATAGAACATAATTAACCCAAACATAAATAATATAAACAAAAAATAATTTTGAAAAAATGGTATTTTTGTAAAGATTTCAAAAATGTGGTATTTTAATAAAATGACACTTGAAAAGTGGCATTTTTAAAAATTTCTC